TTAGCTTCGTTTGTAGTTGGATTCCACTTTCGCGCACAGACGGATAAGTAAATTGTTTGGTAAAAAGTTCAAAGATGCCTACAGGTACAAATAACGTACAGTATTGTAACTCCAAGTTTCTGATACATGTTTATACGAAAACAAATACTAAGCGAGTGGTCCGCGAGCCCAGGAGCTCTATTTTTGAATCACTCGCCTTGCGTCGAACGCTCGATTTTACTAATTTTGATTCGGCATAATAAAATCCGTATTTATGAATCGCTCGACGCCAACGAGCGGTCTCCACCACTCGTTGCGCGTTGGCGAACGATGGAGGCGAACGGTAGAATAATTGTCAATTTTATGTCAGATATTTTCAAGATTTTTCCTCAATCTTTTTAAAATACAGATAGAATGACGATTTGTTGCGACGTTTTGATCTTTTCTAACAAAAAAGTTGAAAGATTAAATAACCAGTTATTGAGAATTATACGTTTATTTTTCCCAGAGGTAATGACTGCTTTTTATCGTGAAATAAATAAAAATAAATATTTTGTATCAAACTGGTAACACTGTAGCTGAATGATTCAAAAATATGGAAAATCAGTATCATGCGACTTGGAAGTCGAAAGTGACTTAAGTCGCATTCGACGATACTATGTCAGGCGAGCGAATCAAAAATAGAGCTCCTGCACTTGAACACTGGCACTGACGTGTGGCTGCGTACGTGACATGCAGCCTGTGCTCACTCGTACACGCGTGTCTTGCTTGTAGTAGTGAAATGATCATACCTATTATTCGCTAGTAGGTACATACTTAATGGACTCCCTGTCTTTATTAATCAGCTCGCGATAATTTTGTTTTGTAAATAAAAACGAAAATTCTAAAAAATTCGAAGCAAATCTATACTTATAATAAATCTGTAGAGAGGTCAATTCTGTACATGAAATATATTTTCAAAATAACTATCAGGGGGTGATTAGTGATCGATACTGATGCCAAAAATGCAATCAGTAAAATTTTTGTCTGTCTGTCTGTCTGTCTGTGTGTATGTTCCTTATAGAAACAAAAACTACTCGACGGATTTTAACGAAACTTGGTACAATTATTCTTCATACTCCTGGGCAGGTTATCGTATACTTTTCATCACGTTACAATCAATAGCAGCAGAGTAGTGAAGGGAAATGTTGGGAAAACGGGAGAAATTACTCCATTTTTTAAGCTTCCGTCGCGTTGCACACGCGCCTTAATGGTTAAAGTTACATAGAAATCATGTATGACGGAAATATTTTACATAAATTTGTCTAAAAAATATCCCGCAACAGCATATGTCTTATCTTTTATGGTTGACTCACAATAACACGTGTAATTATATAAATATAGTCATTGTTTATAGCACAAGCCTGAGAACAAAAACTATAGTTTACACTACAGCTCTACACCGAAGCGAAGCGAGGGCGGGCCACTAGTAATATAATAAAGTTTAATAAATTACCCCTTCCATCACCCTACTCCTATAAGTATTTCGATAATGTAGCTTAGAACCAAGGTTCCATCTATTTATATAGAGAAATTCATCATAAATCATTTCACCCATTATTGAAAAAAAATTATCCATTCTTGAATATTTAATGGGTCCCGACTGTTATAGTAGCTTTGTTGCTTACTTAACAAAATTTTTAACAGTTTTTTTTTCTTTTCAGTTTTGCTTGAAGTAATAATGAAGCGGTTGGACTTTTTGATTTTTTTAATTTACCTGTTTTATTTGTTTTAAATGACGGTCTATTATTTTAGTAACTCATGTAACTTCTTATTTTCTTCCTGATCGAAGTTATTGCTTCTTTCTCTGGAAATAGTAAATAAAAGATAGATTTATACACAAAATCTGAGCTTTATTTAAATCTTTGAACAAAATAATGTTTTTTGGTTTGTATTGATGATTGTGTCACGACAACAGAAACTACATATTACTCACTTGCATTTGCACTATTTGGATTTCCATGTTTTCTTTACTGTTTACCTTTACACTACCTACTTACTGTTAACAAAATAACAATAGTATCAGCAATATTTATGGTATTTTTAAAGAAATTATAATTTTAACGTATGACGGATCCGTTTTGAAATCGTCAAACACGCCATAGGCATAGTGATCACAGGATTAAACTACGGTATACCCAGATTAAACGCGCTCCACACTCCTGCCAAAACCACGCCAACATTGGTCAATACGGGAGTGTATTGGTCTATATTGGCGTTGTCTCGTGGATGTTGGCCTAGTCTCGCCTCAGTGTCGGTAACATCCAAAGGGTTCTTTGGGTAGTTTTATTAATTGGCATAAGTAACCCTCCACAATCCTCATTCTCGATGGCGCTCATTAGGGTTGCCACAAATTTCAGGGCGAATAAAGTAATTTTCAATGTTGGTAGTTATCTTCTTTTTCTATAATATAAAATGAATCGCTGAATGTGTTGCTACGTACAAATCTCGAGAACAACTCAACCGATTTCGATAATTCTTCGTTTAGAATATTCCTTGAAGTACGAGGATGGTTCTTACGCTGAGAAAAATTAAAAAAAATGGCTGAATATGTCCAAAAACAACATTTTTCTACACTCCCATACAAACGATTCGTAATAATATTTCAAAGTCAATTTGAACTTTAATACCATACCATAAATTTCAAATGTTAGTGGAGAGTTTCTGGGGAGGCAAAACAATTGAGCGACGTAATCTCAATAGAAGTTTGGAAAAGGCAAATATACCTTTTCAGTTTTTTTATTATTACTTATATGAAGAGTCATTTAAATGTACACTACAGCTCTACACCGAAGCAAAGTTAGGGCCGGCCACTAGTTTGTTCGTAAAAACTTATTTTTTGGTGCTCTTTGTGAATAGAATATTTTAACGTACCTTGTTTGTGTTGTAATGTATAAAGTACGCCTACGTGAAAAAGAGGACGAAACTCTATTTTAGAGTACAGAGTGGACGCCCTATCATGCCAATCGGCTGAACTCTGTTTTTTCACAAAGACGCATATTTTTGCGATAATCTTATAATGTATATAAAAAAAAAACGACAAATTGGATCCACGAAATAGAGTAATTATTTTTAGGATTTTATTAATGCCATCATATAATATGGGACCATAAAGTACTATTCCGTTTAACTTTAACCTGATGAGTTAATTTCATGAACTACCAAATAATCACAAGCATGTTATAATTCCATTACAGCAGATATTTTCACGACGGACGGTTCAAACGACAAACATCCAGGTTCAGTGAAACGTCCTCAAATTCGGCATTCTTTTGGGTTCATTCATTCGTTCCCAGTGCCCGTCACTCTGAAATTCGTGAAATGTTGGTACTACTTCATGATTTAGACCAATTCGAGTAAGTGAATCGGTTTCTTCTAGGCAAGCGCGTCCCACCTTAGGCTGCTACGTCGCTCTTCATCAGTCGCGTGGCCGTCAAGCGTAAGCCTATTTAATGTAAAAAAAAAAAACATGTTTTCTTTGTTTAACGTAACGCCAAATGGAATTTGCTACCATACGGTTATTTTTATATTCATTCCGCTCTCCATGCGTACGCCACATGATGCAGCCATGCACCGTTCGATAGAAACCAAAGACAAGATAAACAACCGGACGTCGCTCCCGATTAGACTCTGCCCTGGCGGCATTTCATATATTTAATGATTGAGAAATTAAAATTAAAACGCGCGCGCCGATAATGGCGTCCTCTGATGTAATATGTAATTAATTTTGATGTTTATTGTTCGGTATTTTGTTTCGGAATCATGTCAGTAGTGAATGACAGTTATCGCATCTTGACTCACTCTCACTTGAGTTCAGGTGGGGTGGGGTCATTTGCCAGGCTTATAAATAAAATATTGTAAAAAAGAAAACAAAGCACTTCATCTCCCAAATATTGGTTCGCTAATTTCAATAACAAAATATATTTTGGATTTACTTAAAGGAAAATGACTATCGGACTATTCAAAAGAGAAGTCTTTAAATCTCTGGTATATGAAACATAAAATTACACTATTTTTACTACTAAATACTACAGAATATTATTTACATTGTTTTTTGCTTTCGACATTTAAAGTGTCTGGCAATAAATACTGTGAACAGAATGTGTCGGGCAGTATTAATTTAATTTTTTTTACAATATTCTCTACAACATACGTAATAATAAGTCCCCAGACTGTAAGTAAAGTGACTAAAATTTTCACGTGCGTACAGGCGCACGCACCTGATTCGTGAAAATTGGCCCACAGCACAAGTTAGCGAGTATGTATACGTTCGTTGTACACACGAATACTATTCGATAATAATCCATATTTCGTCCATGAGAAAGTAAGTGAGGTCTGGCAGTCTTGGGATCATATTCTATTCTAATAGCCTTAAATCTCTCTGTCTATCCCTTAGTTAATATTGTTTGTTATCGTATTGATGTGCCTTTATGATTAAGAAGTGCCTATCTGGAAAGTAACTTTCATCTTAGGGAAGACTGTTGCTGATAATTCCATTCTCTAGTGATGTGTTCTTGCAGTGACAAAAGTGACAAACTCAAAATCATCAGTTAAGTCAAGGCAGTTAACTCTTCTAAACTTTAACAACTTCTTCTAGAGCTGCATGGAGTAGGCTATATGCGATTTATACTTTGGTATCGCAAGCGCGTTTAGAAGTCCGCTTAACATACCGCTTAACATCAGCCGGGCAATACGCATGTTTGCCTACCCTCTTAATTAAAAATAAACTTTTTTTTTATTGCGTTCGAAGGCAGACGAGTGGACGGGACATCTGATGTTAAGTGATCACCGTCGCTCATGGACTGCCTTTCGTCGAACACTCTATTTAAGCCGTAGTTGAAGAGGACCATATTATAGTACTGAGGGAACACCGCGGAGGGGAGCTCATTCCATAATTTTATTGTCCGTGGAAGAAAAGATCACTGGAAACGAAAAGTAAACTCCTTAAAGTTTTAATAATGATCTCATCTCATTTGTTACAGTGGAGTACGTGGACGCGGAGTACAGCCTATGGCTGACATGGTTCCTGACGCCCGTCATCGTGACTTTTCTGCTGCCTGCCGTCATAATAATTCTAATTTACATCAGTAGCATCATATTCCACCTCTTCAGACTCTACAGGTACCCTTGACTCTCATATCATCCCCAGCCTGATTGCTTAAAAATAAAGTAGTCTGAATAAAAACTTAAGAAAAGAAAAAAACAAATCCTGTATTTATTCTTTAATTCAGTTAAGTAAGAAACAAAACTACTTTTTACAGTCGGGACCCATTAGGTATTAAAAAAAATGATCCATTCTAGAATATGTAATGGGTCCCGACTGTTAAAGTAGCTTTGTTCCTTACTTGCAAGTGTCTAATTTTCACTTGCATTTCTTAGGCTGCAAGGCAGCGCCATCTCTTCGCATTGAAGGTAACCCACAATGTCAAATAAATACATTTACATGTATTAAACATTTGAAAGAAAAAATACTAATTATGTATAGTTATATTTTATTTTTTAAGCATTAAACTGCTAGATGTTTAAATCTAAAGAAAAAAACAAGCGAGCCTTACAGTAGTCGCGTATGATGAGTAACATTTTAAACCTCACCTTAAATAAGTAAAAAAAGAAATAAAAGCTACTACAAAAGGAATAAGCCATTTGGACATTATGACATTGGAGCCATTGGGATCTTTATTTTTTACGCATTTAAAAAAACAAAAAATCCCACGGAGTCTAACTATAGACTTTAGAAACTTTAGATTTAAACATATAGCAGTTAAATACTTAAAAGAAATAAAAATATAAAAAATCCTGTCATTTTTATGACATATGTCACTGACATATTATGTCTCCTTGGTGAAACAGGGCCCTGGTGTGACCACGAGTCAGATTTGATTTTATGTCGTGTTCAGGTTGCGAGTGGTGGACGGAGTTCAAAATGATTGGAAACACGCGGCGCGGTTAGCGGTGTGCGCCTTGTGGGACGCCCACGGGTGGCTGTGGCATGGTAAGATGATTCAGGAACATGGAGGTATAAGAATAGAGTGGGGAAGGCGGCTCCAAAAGTGTCGCGTCTAGTAGAAAGAGAAAGAAGATGACAGACCGCTTGCTATCTCTCTCTCTTGTGACGCATGCGCAGTCGTCTGTCCAATAGTTGGTCCCAAGCATCACATCGAAATAAAATAAGAGAGAAATTACATTCAAATTTATATGTTCATTTATAGATTGGAAGAGTAAGGTACTACTGAAAGTAGCTATAGGTAATTTATAAATTAATTAAGTGAAGATAAAATCAATTACATTTATATAAACAAATAATTAAAATTATATAAGTAAAATTAATTTTTATCCTTTAGTGACAAGTTAAATAATATTTATTATATTTATGTTTGTGTGTATAATTAATTGTATATGTCATTTATGTCTATCATTTATTGTCATTTTGTATATGCACAAACTTGTACATATATAAAAATATGTACATATTACTATATGTACAAAACTTAAGTTTGTCACTCAAATAATCAATACCCTCAAATATACAACTTTTGGTGAAGGGTTTTTCAGGGACTAAATTCCGAAGTCAACGCAGACAGAAGCTGGCAATCCAAAACATGGACTTAATTACCACAGAAAAGTTAGACATGCTTTCAACAGGAGTTTAAGAAAAAATGTTATATAAAATTTGCCCAAACAAGGTTTGAAACCGTGTTTTTATTTTTTTGTGGTAAGACCGATAGTTATTTATAAAAAGCCCAGCAAATGACTTTACTTAAACTGGTCTTGAGATTAGAAGTGAGTAGAGTTCATTTGTCAACTCTAGGAACTCCGTTCAGTGCAAAGTGTGATTTACGAAAAATACTCTTACTTTTAATGTATTATTTATTATAGCGAGGTAGGCAAATGACTCTACTCCACCTGATGTTAAGTGGTGATAACGTCCAAACGCGAAGATAGCTGGTACAACAGTAATAAACTGCTACACAAACCATCCTCACCTTGCCGGCCTGCAAAAATGCTTCTTCACGCCTCTCTTAAAGGACTCCTTAACATTAACTCTCTCTTGTTTGTTCCCCACATAGGCTACGACATCCGCGGCCTGGAGAATATACCGGACGGCCCGTTCCTAGTTATATACTACCACGGCGCTCTCCCCATAGACATGTACTACTTCACAGCGCGCATGTTGCTGTTCAAAAGGCGGCATATACACACAGTCGCGGACCGGTTCATGTTCAAGATACCCGGTAAGTAATACTGCTAGATTTCTATCTCTAAACAATAATCTTAGTAGAAAAAAAGTCGACACCATCCAGGTTGTTACCTTGGAATCGAGCCAAGTCCTGGTACCTAAATCTGGTGAATGCACTGACATGAACATATGCCACTGCCTTTTGGAGCCTAAGATATACTATGAGAAGTTATACAATTCCGTTTTAGAGTCATTAGCATAGCTGCTGGTTCGATTCTGATCCGATAACTAGGCAGTTTGTTTTCTAGTGATTTTTGATAAAACTGTACTTCCAGGGCCCCAGAGGAGATATTCGAACTTTTTTGTAGAAAAGGTATCTTAATTTTTTTTTCTGGCGCTTCGCTGGCCTCTGCCGCGGCACGATCGCTTCGCTCGCTCGGCTCGCGCGTTATGGTCACAACACTAACCTAACCTAGTGTGAAGTATCACCACTTGGGCCCTGGAAGTAGAGTTTAGCCTGATTTTTTTCTATAGATCTTTTTCATTTCATGTCTTAAGTTTCTGTTTCCAAATGTAATGCTAGTAACGGAATCCTATTACTTCAATAACGAAATTAATTCATTACTACAGTAGGTAGGGTACACAAAATGTGAAGTAGTCAGAAGGATGGCTCGGGAGCCGTATAACGGGCAATACTCAAAACCTAACCTCACCTAACTAAACGTACCGTTATTGATTTTGACAACAAGTGTTAGTGTGTATAATCGCGAATACATTCTGTTTGAGATTGCGTGAGAAAAAAACACAGAAAAGACGTTTCATCGTTCACGTTTACTTTATTCTGAATCTACCCTCTGCATTAGCGCGGAGGTTGCGCACTTTGCGTTTAAACTATCCAGACTTTTTGTTTTAATATAGGTATAGCCTATGACACCTACAAATAACATAGCTTTCTATTACTTAAAAGCTCTCCCCACTGCTGGGGCACAGGCCTTCCCTATGTATGGAATAGGGAGATTGGGCCATGACCCACCACGCGGGCCCAGTGCGGATTGGCGGGTGCTAACGACTGCAGATGCAGCCGGGACCAACGGCTTAACTTGTCTTCCGAAGCACGGAGGAACTCTAGATAGAAGATTTTTTCACCCATCCGACCACTGCGAAAGTTGCTAACAATCGCAGCCGAACGCGCTAACCACCTGCGCCATCGAGCTCCTCCAGACATTATCCCCTATTTTTTACTTACTCAGGTTGGGCGTCCCTCCTGGAAGGGTTGTGCGTAATCCCGGGCACGGTACAGACCTGCGCGGGGGTATTGCGCGCGGGCAACCCCCTAGCCATATCTCCGGGAGGGGTGTACGAGGCGCAGTTCGGGGACCACTCGTACCGGTTGCATTGGAAGTCCAGGATAGGGTTCGCTAAAGTCGCGCAGGAGGCCAAAGTGGTGAGTAAAGACACAAAGAGGAGAAAGAATGTAATACAAAGTGCGCTCGAGCAACGCATAAAAACTGCTTACGGACATGATATCTCAAACTGTGGAGACCACTGCGAGCGCGAGTTCCATCCTGCCGCCCAAATTACGGTTCACTCTAACAACCGCTAATATTAAAAATAAATTAAAAGAACACTTTTAAACTATTTATAAAAATAAATTTCCTAATTTCATATACAATGTACTTATCCAAGACAATATATTTTGTCTATTTTAAATGTGCATTCATACCATTTTTTTTTTATTAATGTAATAAAGTAACTCCGTTAGCAATATAAATATTGTCGTGCAGTCGTACATCGCATAAATTCAAACCACTGTGGTATTAAGATGCGATTGATCACAACATTATAATCAGACCCGTCTTTCCCAGTGGGCACTTTGGGCAAGTGCCCAGGACCCCGCGATCGATAGGGGCCCACCTCAGATCACAAATACAAAGTCCCTAGTTTCTGTTAGATAACCAAACGGGGCCCCGTTATTCTAATATGCCCAGGGCCTCCAATAGGTCAAAGATACACTAGGTATGATGACTATTTTTTTTTTCTTCGTTTATCAGGTAGATTATCAAAAAGTATTGAACACGTATTTTTTCTTTTTTTCACATAATATAAACATTGCAGAGATATACTGATTTGAAAAGTCGCGTGACGTCACGTTTGAGTACACTTATAAGTAAAAATTCACTCAAAAGTGACGTCACGAGCCCCTACTCCCAAACTTTGACGCGCTATAACTTTGTCATTTTTAGGTTGATTGCCCAAAGAAAAAATACGTGTCCATTATTTTTTGATCATCTAACTGACGGACTAAATAGAATTTCGTTTATTGTACCCCGTCATCACCCCTATTATATTTCTTTGAAACTGGTAATAATAATATAAAAAACGGCTTGAGACACGCGTCTGTGAACTTTTTTTGTACAAAAGTAATGCAAAAAAAACAAGTTAATATTTATATCTGTTCAGTAGACTGTTGTTTGAATTCAACATTAAACTGTGAATTGTCGTTTTTTTATTAATGTAATATAGCAATAACATTAAAATTGAAATATTTTAGTTTGGTATTATTGGTTTATATTTCTGTTCTTCTTGTTACATTCTCGACAGTAAATGTTATAATTTTGTTATGCATAAGCCAATGTTCACAATCCTAGCGCGACCGCCGAGCGTTAGTATGCAAGCTCTACTAAACTGACCTAGCTTGGAACATGCTAGTTTTGTTAACATGAGCCTGGTTTTGTTCAAGCTAGTGCTATTGCATTGACTGAATTAGCCACACGTCCAAACGACCCCCAGTATACCAAGACTAATTTACCTATTTATTTTAGTTGTTACTTTCTAATTTAAAAAAAATCAAAGCCTTTAAGGTAGTGTGTTAAAAAAAAGACGAAACACGTGGTTTCTGCTTGCTGCTAGTATACAACCTAGAATAGTAAAGTCAGTGGAGGGGGGCGCTATTAGCCTGAAAAATAGAACTCCATCCTTTTAAAAACTGCCCTGGCTTGTAATCTAGCTTACTAGCTTAGAAATGAAGTTAGTTTTGTCTACACGAAGCCAGAAGTATCTAACTAGCTTGCTATATAAGTATGAGAAACTAGCCTCGTGTAACCTGGGCATAACATCTGTACTCTCTATTTTGTAGTACAGAATACAATTTACTTATGATTACATAATGAATGATTGAATGACTATTATTATTATTAGAATTTAGGTTGAACTTACGTCTTTAAGGAAGGTTAGAATGAATGATTGATTTATTAAATGAATGACCGAAAGAAATAATGAATCACTTAGAAAAAATGTCATTAGTTTCAAATTTATATATTGTTTTATGAAAGATATTTTGGATATTTCATGCAATGTTGCCCTTATAGATCCCCAGCCGGTAAATTGAGAAAACTCTGTAAGAGCTACATAAATAATGAATTAATCTTTATTCCTGCACTAATTAAATGAATATGAATAATATACATGACTTTATCAGTATTTTAAATAATTTTTAATTAAGTTATCAGTAATTTTGGTGAGCGCTTGAAAATAATTGATTCTCATAGAAAAAAATAGTCTTCTTAACCACTTGTTCATTCATTTTAAATTTTAATTTGAAAGACATTAAATATTCCTGTTTTCTCTGTTAGCAATATGATTTTTAATAATGTCTCGTTCTACCAAATCCCACTTATATGTTAACAACGACTTTAAAAACCTGGTATCGCTCGGTGATATTTTGAAGTAGTTTTTTATTTATTTACTGTATTCGGTTTGTTTGTATTCCTTTGTGTTTATTTATCATGTTATTTCCAGCCCATAGTGCCGATATTCACTCAGAACGTACGCGAAGCGTTCCGCACAGTGGGATGGTTGCGCGGCATATGCCTGCGAGTGTACGCGGCTACTAGAATACCGTTAGCGCCAGTCTACGGGGGATTCCCCGTTAAGTTGGTCACGCATGTAGGGAAACCAATACCCTATGATCCGACACTCACGCCACAACAACTACAGCAGAAGGTGAGACAGCTTTTTACAACTCATTTTAGCATTGTTACATACTTTAATAGATTACCATTGCATAGTTAGATATTTGGAAAAAAACGAGTGTGCTTATGACCACACACAACTGAAGTGAAACTTCCTTAGCTTCATCTGTATGTATATATATGTGTGTGTACAGTATATACTCAAACATGTATGTACATATACATATTTCATTAACTAGCTATAAGAAAAAGAGAGGAAGCAAATGTGCGCGCGCACTGCTTTCTCTTGCTTATATCCCCCACTCAACTCCCATTCGCCTCGCCCGAACACACTTTTCGTAACGCGTAACGCATTCGCTAGCTTACCCCCCAAGTCAAGCATGCGGAAAAAAAATTCCCTTCAAAAACCAGACCTTCCTGTTGTCAGGTGAATAATAGATGTAACGATTATATATTGTAGTATGAAGCTTTGTACGGACTGGTATGTTTCTTTACTCATCTGGTTTTTACAACTCAAACCGCTCACAGTGACAAATTTGTACTTATTTAAGTTTGGTTTAAATGCCATGTCCGGTATCTTTTTCGCTTCAGCCTTCTTCGTAATTTTTAATCCATAATACTCTTTAAGATCCTGTGGAGTGGAGTAATTTGATTAATCTTTCGTAAACAAACAAAAAAACATCTACGATCTAATGTTTTTCCATTTGTTTCATGTTCAGGTCGCCACTGCCATAGAACAACTTATAGAGGTACACCAGAGGATACCAGGCAGCATACTATTGGCTCTCATCCAACGATTTTACGACATACCCAAAAGGAAAAAACTCAGTGCCAACAAAACTCACGCTAGCAACGGTAATTGCCACAACGGCACCGCGAAAGAGAGGGACGCAGATAGTGTAAGTGAGAAGTGTGACAGTGACAAAGATAAAGCTTCATAGCTGTGAAGACGTACCAGATAAAAACTTTTTTCGAAGATTTTCGAATTGTTTTTGGTACAAGAAGGTTTTGTACGTAGTCGGATCTCCGTGATCTGTGTTTTATAGAATGTGGAATATTTCCATCTTTATGCATCCCAACTGTGTAGGCAGTGGCGGACTAACAGGGAGGCGGAAGGGGCGGCCCGCCCTGGGCCTCCGATCTTGGGGGGCCCCAAATGCCTCTGCGTTCCCCAGATCAAATCCTAAACAAGACTTTAAAAATGTGCTTAGGTACTAAGCATAATAATACATAATTTCATCAAGATCAAAATGCTACAGTAATGTAGACTTTTTACGCGGTACTAATATTTATTTAACTTTGCTGAACGCTGGGGGAATTCCCGTCTTTGTAGCGGGTACTTCCTCAGGAATCCCTGAATGAATGAAGTTCAAATAATTTACTCTTGTACGCATACATTTACATTAACTACATTCTATTTAGTGGTTCTTACGAAATAAACATAAGAATCTACATTTTTTTTAAAGCTGGGAGCCTCATTCAGCTTTGCCGCCCCGGGCCTCTGACGGGCTTAGTCCGCCACTGTGTGTAGGGTTGCCAACTGCACTCATATCACATTATAGTAGTTTTCTATTCATATCTGTGGTGTTGAAAGAAAGAAAGCGGTAAAGAAAATGTGTAGTAAGGCAACATTCGATATATATATATATATATAGTGATTATTTAGCTATTTAAGAGAACTATACAAATTCGAAAGTATGTTGAAATAACATTAAGTTTACGTTTAAAGTATGAATATTTATCCTGCATGCCAAATGGGAATAGAAACTTGATACGAATTTACAAAAATATTGATAAAGATAGATAGATGATATTTAATTAAATTGCTTGTGTAAATACAAACTGGTCCTGACGATGTGCCACTATTTCTGAAGAAGATCGTCGATCGATCGAAGAAGACCGAGCACTTAATTTTATCTAAGTTTTAAAATTAAAACTTTTAAAAATAATTTTTATTTATCTCTACTAGGCCAAATAAGTTGTTCTTATGCCATAAATTTTCCTAATGGAATTAAAAAATCTACAAGCGCGTACAGATGGCAACCCTAAACACAAACCAACGTAGGATAGTTTAGCATTTAGATACACTGCATTACATAGTATTGTGATGAATATAAGATATTTATATGGTGCAAATAAAAATTATACACAAATCTAAGATTGATGTGCATTTAAAAATTTCAAAAGACATTTTGATTGCGTGATTTTATTATATACTTAATGAAAAAAAGGTAAGCAAATATAGGTACTTACCTAGGAACTTAGTTTATAGAAACCTTTGCAATATTTATGTATAGAGCTTGTACAAATATATATAATTATATTAATGCTTTATAGAAATACTCAATGCGGCGTTCACACTAACACTGATTTTTTTTTCAACATTGATAATGTCATAGGGATGGTACAAAATATCAATATTTATTAAATCAAAAGTCCATAATTGTGCTATACGCTAATGTTATATTACTGTTAATTAAATTAAGTTAGTGTTAATAAAAAACGTCATTTAGGATTCGTACAAAAATATGTAATGAATTGAAAAACAATTAAGGGTTGACAACAAAATGGCTGGTGTAGCTTTCTAATATTTTTATACATTAATAATAAATGAAAGGGCATTAATAATACGATTATAAAATTTTCAAGAGAAATCATGTTTAATTTTAGTCCTTGTGTACTCGCTATAAAGTACAATTTGTAATGCACTTTACGGTTTTAGTATTAGATAATGCTGATTGACATTTAATCATGGATATATGTATGTAACTAGATCAAATTGTTTTGACTTCTGTTTGCAATAAATTTAATTATGACAGGAAAATATCCTTATCATGCTTAATATACATCTTGAAAAAAGGAGAGATTGCTGTCAAAAGCTAATAACACAGCCTGAAGTCCCGTTTGGGAAATATTTTAATCTATTTACTTAATACAAAGAACTTAATGTTTGAAAACCAATGACGTATAATATATAGACAGGTCATACACCAATATTTTGCATTTTTAAATGGATTAAGTAGTCCCCGCCCCAACTTCCTTTGGCAACAGCCGCAAATAGAGCGCATTAAAGTAGTCTCTTTCACTCTCATTCATAAAGCAATTACATCTCGCTCTTTAGCCCACACGTGTCAACGGTGACAGCAACTGCCAAAATAAGTAATCACTAAATATTTTTACATTAAATTGGATAAAACATTACTTATGAATGAAATAACACGTTTTTCTTGTTGCTATAAGTTCCCGTGTATTTTGTGTACTATGTATTTAAAAACACACATAATGCTTTTCGTCTGAAAAAACGTAGAATATTTACACGTTGTTGGGAAGTGTAGCCGCGGCAAGAGCTTGCCCGACTGAATGCAAGTCGGGTAATTACTTGACTTTCGTATTGCCAAACTAGAAGCGTGTATGACGTACCTATAACTTTTAAACAACATAGTTTAAAACATTTTAAATGCAAAATAAATATAATCTGCTGGTATACAATGCGTTTGCAACCATATTTTATATGGAATGAGGTCCGGTATGAAAGGTTTTCATTGCTGTGTGGCCTTTGTTATTGTTAAGTCTGAAGAATAGGACAGCGATATTTATGCTGATTAACAATTTACGCTATGTTGTAGGACATTGTTAGCGAAATTTCCTACCTTGGTTATAGAAAAATATTATACTTTTTTCATAGTTCTATACACAAAGAGTGACTTAGACTACTGTCTCGCAGCACTCCACCCGTCTGTGTATTTGTAAACAGTGTGTGTATTTAACTTTTTACGACATAAAAAAGCATTTTTTTCCTATTATCCAATCACTTCTTTAGTTATCAATTAACAAAAATATTAAAAGTTAGCGGTTAAAAATATAATTTCATTCTAAAAAGGCGCCTGGAATGGGCTTTCAAAAATCTCACGAGATAGTCATTAATTTTTTTAAGCTATTTAGGTACGTATTGCTCATGATCATTTTGTTTTTACAAATAGGTAAAAGACCTATGTTATGATTTATCTACGATAAAAAGGAGTAAGGAGTTTATGCGCCAAATTTGATATATATCAATACATTTTGGAATGTATAATTTTAAAAGGCTTCATTATTTCAGGCAGGCTTCAATATTTAATCGTAATCACATTTTATTTATCAGAAATTAATGATCAATGAATTTTTTAATTTTAAAGATTGACATACTCGAAGTGTAAACACACGAATTTAATAGAAGTAGTAAGGTTATGCATTTCTTTAGTAATTTATGTTTTATGGGCCCATATAACCCTTCAGTTATATGGGAATTAATGTGTTAAAATTAAAAATTCTGCGTTTCGGTAATACTTAAACATATTACAATATTTATTAACGTGGACGGGTCAAAAGATAAGAAAGACAGACAGACAGAGAGAGCGAGAGAGATGTATGGTGGAATGCGTAAAATATTATAATAATGATAAAGAAGAGCATTAACTCTGACATATTGACGGATAGCTGATCTAAAAACGAAAAGCATGGAAATGGATCTGCTGTAAAATCAATTGGACTGTTAAAAAAGTAGTATACCTACGTATTGCACATAAAACAAACTTTTTTTTGTGTACATTTCGTGCACCATTAGAGTACTTAGTACATTATTACTAATCATGAATTTATTATATGTATTTATATTAAGTTTACTTAAACTTAATCTGATAACTGCTTACATTAATTTAAACTATGTGAACACAACATAACGTAATATAAGATTTTTTTCATTGCACAATAAAAACGGAAACAAATTACAGTAACTTAACAAATTCCCATTTAAAACTAAATTAAAGGGGTTAATTTTTTTTAAGAACATAAGGTCACAATTTTATTTTCTTTTGTCGGAACTTATCACTTATGCCTTAGCAATAAGTGACAAACTTGAAGAGCAATTATTATCATTACTAAGTATTCGTATACTAATACCAGTGCTGGCACTAGATAGTGTTTATTAAATCGTTTGATAATATGCATTTTATTATATTTTGTAAGGTTTGTCTTGTCTTACAAAAATTATAAATAATATTATATACTTGTACATTTTGATCCGAATGGGGAAAATGATTTGAGACTTCGGACTTATATGATATTAATTGAGTGTAGGTAAGACAGAAACGATTAATAAGTTTGGAGTAGTTATTTTTTTCTTTATACTTATTTAGTTTGTATCGTTTTTAAAATTATATTTAAAAATTACTTATAATACCTAACTATAGGTTTGTCTGCGATAACCGATCGAGTTAGATTTTTGTTCTCAAAGTACTTATAATCTAATAACAAAACAATATTTATTAATTCAAGTGATCACAATTAATAGGGGTTTTGTTTACTGTTTTAAAATATTATTTGAAAATAGCTTGCATTTGTTATTCATAAGATTAGTGGTTAGAGTTTAACTATTCCAAAATAATAATTATTCTTCTATTTGTTATGAAGACATCAATCAATTTGTAAAATGAGCCATTAAAATGTTTGCTTTGTTTACATTACAAGCTTTTATTTATTGTAAAAAGAAATCCGTAAATGATGTGTTGATGCAGAGATTATAAAGCTTCAAAATGAAAAAAAAAGTTGTTTCAATAAATTACCCCTACTACAATTGTAATAGGATGAAAATTTTGATTTCAACCAGAGACTGATAATGCTCCTTTAAATGCGCAACACATTAACTAACCTCACCTGGTGGCCAAACGCCTAAAGAGATTTCCATGGCTAGCGCTATCGCTTACGATTTCATTTTTAGGATTCCGTAGCCAAATGTTAAAATAGAACCCTTATAGATTCGTCATGTCCGTCCGTATGCCACAGCCACTTTTTTCCGAAACTTTAAGAACTACACTGTAGAAACTTGCTAAGTAGATGTATTCTGTGAACCGCATTAAGAGATTCACACAAAAATGGTTCCCCATACTAAACCGCAAAAAAAAAAATATGAAACCCATACGTGTATAGATCTATGGATGGGTCTTAAAAAATTATATTGAGGTTTCTAATATCATATTTTTCTTAACTGTTTGCGAGAAAGACACTTCCAAAGTGGTAAAATGAGTGTCCCCCCCCTTCCTAAAAAAATATATGATGTACATTACTATGCAAACTTCCACCGAAAATTGGTTTGAACGAGATCTAGTAAGCAGTTTTTTTTATAATGTCATAATTCACAATCAAATAAAAAAATACACTATTATTAAAACAACGATCAAAGTAACAACGAACTAGGTACAAGAACTTTTATATTATGTTACTTGTTGCTACGGAACCCTTCATGGGCGAGTCCGACTCGCACTTGGCCGCTTTTTTTTTCAGACCGCTGAAGGTTTTGAAATGCCTCGCGCTTGTTTTTTTTCTTTTGCATTGGCAATAACAATAATAAAGAAAATAAGCGTAAGATATGTGAAAACCTTCGGGGGTCAGAAATTACAAAATGAAATCGTAAGTGATAGCCATAGAAATTCCGTTAGGCAATTAACCATGTGATGTTAAGTGTAAGTGGAGTCTTGTCACGAATCAAGATAGATGATGCAGCAGGTGCGCGGCTCCAGCCATCCTACCTAGCCGGCCTAAACTCAATCTACCCCGTGGAGCCCTACTCACGAGCAGAAACCACACTTAAAGGTAGTGTTATTTTCCAGTCGTCTTCTTTATGGACTAAATTACTAAACTGATTTATTTATCGGATAATAAAAAAATCATTTAAAATAGACTGCAACACAATGGTGTAGAGGACTGTCCACCTGTTTATGATTAATGAATGAATGACTATTATGTTAAATTAATATATGATATTGAATGAATGTCCTAAACGAATTATAGGTAAACCGCTTAACTGAGTTCTCGCCTGCGGGGTACAGGGTGTGGGGGAGGACTAGAACGGGGACCGTGAGAGGTGCGGGCGGCCAGCACTTATAATTTTGACAAGAATGTGCCTTATTTTTACCCCGCAGGCGAGAACTCAGTTAAGCGGTCTACCTATAGAAAGTGCATAAATTTTTTCGAAGATGTCCGTATAAAATATTTTGGTATGTGTTTAAATGAAGTTGTTGACGTCATCAAACTGTTGCGTCTGCGGGGGCGCCAGGTTGCTTTCCAGGACGGGTGCTCCCATTCGAGCGGGAAATCCGCTCTACCCTTCCCTCTTCCTCATTCTGCCTGAGAACGAAATGTGAACTGACGACTGAAGGAGAAGCCGGTACCATTGCTTTAACATGCCTTCTAAAGCACGGAGGAACTAGAGATAATACATTTTTGGCCACCCATCCATCCTATGACAGGCTCTTATGCAAGTTGCTTTAGTTTCACAATTATAGACAGAAAGCGCTTAACGTTGCGTTATGTAGCTCCAGAACTTACAACATCGGAGCCGGAGGTCAAATGATCAATTCGTTATACTAATTTTAGAAACAAGCACAGCAAATTCACCCTTATCTCCGAAACATAATGCATATATTTCTTCTAAGCAGATAATCAGCGGAATGCCCGCGTCTTTTTTTATTTCAGAAGAAATATTATGTATATTACGTTGCGGATATAATAGTGAATAAGGGGAATGTGCTTTGTAACATTCATTATTCTAGCAATCTACTATTTCATACAAGGGAAAGATAGGAAGGGAGTGGGAATTTTAGATTTTACTCGAGCGCGGCAGAATAATATAAGGAGGGGCAGGCTTGCACCTTGATAAGTACTCCTACCTTACCTGAGCCTTTTATATTAAGGTTGAACGTACAGGGCAGCAAAAAAAAAATCAGCAAACGACCATGACTTTAGGTGCCCCCGCACACGGGCCACCGGCCACAACTATAAACGCCGCGCCGCCACCGGCATATTTCCTGTAGTTTTCATACATTTTTTAAGAACTCGCTACGTAGCGTGTGGCGACCACTGGCGTTAACCGTGTGCGGCGAGTCCATATAAAATGTTTGAAAACTATAGGAAATATGCCAGTGGCGGCGTTTTGTGGTTGTGGCCGGTGGCCCGTGTGCGGCGACACTAAAGCCCGTATTATAGAAAGATTCTCAGTGATTGATCTAGTCTTGAGCATAGTTAGAAAGGGATGTGGCTATATATAGCACATAGCGATATCCCTTTCTAACTGTACTCAAGTAAAGATCAACACTTAGTTGTCATTTTGTAATATGGGCCTTAGTCGGGTTCAAATCGTCAGTTTTTTAAATAGGAGCTACTGGAGCGTTCAGAATTTTAGTAATAAAATAACAATCCGATTTCAATGAATTATTTTATATAAAATTTATTATAAGTAATTTAAATTACAAAATTGATTCACTTAACATTTAATATTATCATTTTAAATTTGATCATTTACTCCCGAGAAAGAGCGTCACCTAGTAAACACTGCGATAAAAACAGACCAGTTATCTCTAGCACGAACCAATTTCGAAATTGGGATAGTTTGCTAGTACGAAATATCATTGTCAAATATGTACTGATTTTTATTAATATGTAGCAGTAGAAAACTGATACAAAATCCGTTAGGTTGCCTCGAAGTTATAATTTCCAATTTCAGGGGAGAAGACGCGATTTTTTTATATTGTGTATTGCTTTAGTTTTAACAATTAAATATAAATGTGAACATGGTCGTAGAATATGAACAAAGCCGAGTACTATTAATAATAATAAATATATCCAACACTCACACCAATTGGTGTGATTGTTGGAAATATTTACTTACTAATATAAATAAAGTGCTTACTTTGGGGCTAGGCTAATTAGCCTAGCCCCAAAGGAAGCACTGTAGGCAGGCTTGTGTTATGGGATACTAGGATAACGTAAATACAAAAATTTATATAGAAATACATATTAAACATCCATGACTGAAGTGCAAATGTTCGTATTCATCACGCAAACATCTGCCCCCACTGGGATTCGAACCCAGGACCTCTCGAGTCGGCGACATCATGAACACAAACCACTCGGCTACGGAGGTCGTCAATATAAAAATCAATAAAATTACATTATTGAAAATTTACCTTGTCTAATAATAATCGGTTTAATATTCAATGTGGAATATGAACCACTTTGAATAGTCCTTTAAAATAATGAAATGAAATGATAAAGATAGGTGAGATCAATTTCTTTTCACGTTAATATGTATGAACTGACATGGATAGATGAAACAAGTGAGTTTTTGAACTTTCACAAAACGGTGACGACATCAACACTATAGATTGTGTACTTTTAATTTCATTAAAATAAAAAAATGAAAGGTCTCTGTTCTATATCTCTCACTCATCCCGTTTCATCGGTAAAAGTACTCAGTCTTCGTGTGAGATATTTTTTTCAACGCATTTGCGCTGCTACGCTCTGTTTAGGAAGTAAATAATCAAAGCATTTTACCTATACAATAATCAGTACTGTCTTAAAATATGCTCTTTCAACCGATATTTCATATTTACATTGAATTAAACACATATAAATTATATTGTTATACTACTGAAAATGGTTTGATAAAGAGTAACAAATTGATAAATAAAACTGGCAAATATTAAGTGGAATTTATTATTTTTTCTTCGGGGTCCACGATATTTAATACTCCTCGATACACCACGTGCGCTCAAGATGTGTTCACAGTGACGTGCGGACCGTTGCAAAGTCAGTACCCCTAGCACGAGCCATTATCGAATTCGAATAGTTTGCAAACCGAAATGTCAACGTCAAATTTTGTGTGGAAACTTAAACAGCAGCGGCACAAAGTACGTAACGAGAACTAAAAATCAGTACACATTTGCAAAAGATACGAATTTGATATTGGTTCGTGCTAGGGGTACTGCACGCCCCAGAGCTTCAGAAAAAAATACGAAAAATATAATTAAAGTACTTAGAGCGTCATTTGTTGACAGGTATCTAATCAATGTCTGTTAATTAAACTCATTTGAAGCCAATTTTTATCACATAAATTTAATAGAAAATATTTGTGATATTCAAATGTATGGTGGGTTGTATAGCCGTCCCTTTTCCCCCCCTCTCCGAATCTGATATATTGATAACAGCGCATTCAGAATTACGATATAGAGTCATAGAAATAAAGTCTTCCATTTCGAACTGCCATAACTGTTTGACGCTTGCGTTTAGATTAAGACCTTATTTTACATGCATTAAAAGTGACTTTGAATATTCAAATAATGCCTAACATTGTTTTTGACTACGCGATCTTACGGAGCTCCGTGGGTCGTTCAATGTACCTTTTGAACAGGTTTTGGGCACGATTTTGTTCGTGATGTTGTATCTAGGGTATTAAATATCGTTGTTCGGGGTAAAAAAAAACACGAAAAAGTCATAAAGGATATTTGTTAACGAAACAAAAACATCAGATCACATTATCATATCAGGTACAAAGAGACATGTGAAATCTACATACAAACAATATCGCCACGATTCAATATCATGGTACGTCAACATTTTAGCCAGCGCAAACGAGAGACTTTTGTACGCGGAGGATAAAATTCCCTGAATCGTGAATAAAATGTCCGCCGAGGACGTGTCACGAACTCAACGCATACGGTGTGCGGACATTTGTAGCCCGCAGAGAAGCGCAGGCTATGGTAGTAAATATTCTCTTCTT